TATATAGGGAATTTTAGCCCTGGGGCAAAATTCAGGGTATAGAAAGAGTCAAATGGTGGTGTTTCCTTTGAAATTGGTTTGAATCACCTTGAAGTCAGTTTTCGGATATGGCAACATTGGGGTGTGAATGTGAATGATTGGGGACACATTTCCAAAGCAGGACAGATTAGCGGGCAAAGATGCCAAGGTTGCTGACTCCCTGGCACCATCCATTGTTCTATAGATATGTCCTTTTCTCACCTCTTCAAAGATGTCCAGAAAAACAAGCCCCTGGCTTACTGATAATTTATGTGTGATTAATGAATCCCATTAATAGCATCCACAGTGGGGTCATAGAAGGGTGAATTAACCTGCATTTCTGATATCAAAAGAGGAGGGGTGTAAAGAGGCTAACACCAGTTATCTACAAACAAAAGCTAATAAGGGGCCTAGTCTCATATAGTTCAGGCACTTGATGGTTTAGTATAAATGGGCTAGTTCAAAACCAAAACTCTTGTATATATATATATGAGCATCATGCATTTTCTGCCTCTTATTTTGAATCTCATGTTTGATTCAGGGACAGACTTTCCTTTATTCCATTTTCTTTGTTGGTTAACTAATGATGAAAACTGGGTAGCAAGTGACATTTGCACATTGTCTGGGCATGAGCAATATGCTACTTAATTCAGAGTTCTGAAATTCATTCAGATGACCTCAGCTCACCCTGGATTCAGGCTGCTTCTCATTAGGAGGAGAAAGATTTTTTCCAGTAGAAGTAACATTGGTACTCTCTGCACAATTTTTCAAACAGCATCCAAGCCCATTTATGTCATATCATGAAAATAAAAACAATCCTAAAACAGTTAGGGCCATGCTGCTTGAATGCTGAGTGGCTTTTAGGTCATCTACCTGAATTTCAGGCATATCCTTTCAGTTTCAATATGTGAATTGAGCACATGTTGCATGGGATGTACTGGACACTTTGCCAGGTGTGATCCTACCCACCCACCCACCTCTGTTTCAAGGCATAAAGTGACAATCATCTTCATGTTTATTTTTACCAGTAGTTGCTTCCTGTTCTCAGACCTCATGATACATGTAGTACTACAGTTGGCCCTCCTTATCCACGGATTCATTATCCACAGACTGGAGCATCCACAGATTCAAGCATCCATGGCTTGAAAATATTTTAAAAAGTATAAATTCCAAATAGCAAATCTTGATTTTCCATTTTATATAAGGGACACCATTTTACTTTGCCATTGTATTTAATGAGACTGGAGCATCCACTGATTTTGTTATCCACAGGGGTTCCTAGGACCAAACCCCAGCAGATAACAAGGACCCCCCCCCCTGTGAATAAAAAAATATTTGTACCCAGAGACCAGTCTTAAGGCATCTGACACAGTTGTATGACTGAAGCTAAGTCAAATTAGGTACCTTTTAGCAAGCAGACTACACTGTTGGAAGTACACATTCAATACTATTCAGCCTACCTGTACTTATAAAGCAAGAAACAAAGTGTACCTATTTGCAGTATACTAATGAAGGATAAGTTGCCTCTGTTTTTGTCGCCATGCAATGACTCCATACCCTGCTGCTGCAATGCATAGATGCATGGCAAAAAGAGGCTCAGTTCTCAAGCCTGTATAAATATTTTTAATTGAAGTGAAGGTGCTTATCTTTTCTTACCCTGCATAATATTGTTCTTCATTTCTTTCTGGTTATATTTGGCTGCAGGAAGCTGGAAGAAGCTTGATAGCCACTGAAGGCCCAGTCACAACCACTGAACTTTTGTTGTTGTGTGCTTTCAAGTCATTTCCGATTTATTTTGATCCCAAGGCGAACCTATCACAGGGTTTTCTTGGAAAGTTTCTTCAGAGGAGGTTTGCCATTGCCATCCTCTAAGGCTGAGAGTGTTGTGACTTGCCCAAGATCAGGGACCGGCAACCTACGGCCCGGGGGTTGGTTAAGGCCCTGGTCCCCGGACTTACCGGCCCAGGCCGAAGGTTGCCGCCGCCGCACACTGCCATTGCTGTGCGTTTTTGCCGCTCTGTGGCCACGATCACTGCGATCGCCATTTTGGAAATCAAAATGGCTGTCGTGACGCGTTTGTGCATGCGCAGTACTCTTGCACATGCACAAACGCTTCGTGGCCGCGATTTGGACTTCCAAAATGGCGGCCGCAACATGCGCATGGCCGCGTGCACTACGGCGGTGGCCGTGGTGGCAGCGTGCGCGGGGGGTCGCGCACAGCGGCGGAGGGTGCGCGTGCGCATGCGTCACCATTCCCCCTCCCCTCAGCCCAGCCGAGACCTGGGCTACGGGAGACCGGCCCAGGACTCAGAAAGGTTGCCTGCCCCTGCCCAAGATCATGCAGTGGGTTTCCATAGCTGAGCCAGAATTTGAACCCTGGGCTGAAACCACTACACCACACTGACTCTCAACCACTGAACTGGGTAGTGGTAAAGAGACTGCATGCCCCAATGATGAGCATTGGGGGCTAAGACTAGGTAGCCTTGAGTTCAAATCCTTGTGAACCTGGTACTGATCCAGTCATTCTCTTGGTCTAGCTTGTATCAAAGGACAATTATGAAGATAACTGGGAAAATGGAAGATTCATGTTTGTTGTCCTAAACTCCTTAATGGAAAGGTACAATATTGTCTATTTTCTTATGCTCCTGTTCACTTGAGTATCTTAATTCATTCAGCTCCCTAGCTTCTGAGGCTTTCAGCAGTGCATGTCTTCATGCTGTGAGTTATAAAGACTAGTAACTTGTTCCCCCCCCCCCATGGATGCTGAGATTGTCACTGTGTACTACTCACTATATCCGGCGTAGCCGTGTTGTCCATATAGCCAAGTACTGTAACATCCAAAATCCACAAATCAGTGATAATTTTAGTGGGCCAAGCTGCACGTTTTCAAAGCTCGCTGGCTTCTTTATCAGGCAAAGGTATTAAAAATCATACAGGAGAAAAAATTAATGATGATGTTAATCAAA